TTTTTGGTGCTTCATGTTTCGTGCTTCGCGTTTAACAAGTTTGGTGCTTCCGTGCATTTATTGCTTTGGTGCTTCATGTTGGTTTTTCGCGATGATCCTGGCCCTGATTAGTCAAAACCCTCCAAATTAGATATTTTTTTCAAAACAACTATTCAACTATGAGAAATACATCCCAGTATAGTGGCCCTCAATACAATTCTTATCAGCGGGGACATAGTTGTATACTTGTCATCACGCTTCTTTCTATTTAGGGGGTCTATATGCAACGAACCGGCCAATACACCAGTCCCCAAACCGTTGTGTTTTCCCACTGAACGGTCAACCCACGCCAAGGATCTGGTCCAGCGCCATATCAATCATCTCATCGCTGATGGCCGAGCCAATGTCACGGATCTTCTGCAAGACCTCGGTGCAAAACCCGAATCCGCTGGCGGGACCCGAATCCTCTGGAGGGGTATGTGCACTAATGATGGTATGGTAGTAAAGTATTATGTAGAACCTGACTGACCCATGTTTTGGAGCCAAATCATGGTCACATGGTCTTCTCAACACTGGGGACTAGGTTAAGGTCGATGGAGTGAATTCTCCACCACCGAAATACGCTGAAGATGAGGCACGGTTCTCAGTTCCTCTTTGTCGATGAAGCCATCCTGATTCAGGTCCTGAGGTGTGGCAAGTTCAGCGAACCGAACGGCACAGCTCAGGAGTGCTCCAGCTCCGTAGTCCTGGATGGTCCTGGTCCACAGGTCTCCGTGGATGGAACTTTTTGAACCTGTAGTGACTATAGTGAGTGGGCTCTGTTGTCCCAACTCAACTGATGGGGCGCTCTCTAGATCTACGGCATTTGGGGGGGGCTTAAAGCAGCCCCCCCAAACAAACCACGCCCGTGCCACTTTGCACTCCATCAGCCCCAGTTTTTAAACGATCATCTGTTCACAGCCCAGGTCTTGCTTCGGCAGGTGTCAAGCAGCACTTGAAGGCCTTCGATCAACAGAAAGAAATAAAAGAAACAGCAAACCGCCAACCTTCCCACGTATCTGATGTTCACGAACAAGCTTTCTGTTTTTTTACATGAAATCAGTCATAATGCATCTGTTCCCTTTTCTGAAGAGAACACCACTTCGTTGTTCCACGGCTGGGGCCAGTCATGCCGAGCCGGTCCATCGCCAAGGCTCGAACTGATCGAAGATCGCCTTCACACGCTCCACCTTCGAAGCCTTCGGACTCTTCGCCGGCCGCGCGGCCGCGGCCGGGGCCACCGCGGCCGCGGTCGGCGCGGGTGCGGCAGTGGGCGCGAGATCGTCGTCCTCCAAGGAGGTGTAGAGGGTGGCGGCCACACGGAGGAGTTTACGGCTGCTGACCTCAGCTACTCAACTGATGAAAAAGCATTGCACGACCATAGTGGAGAGTACCAGGTATAGATGGCCCTTTTTCGACTCTGGAGAGACGTGGTTTGTCGATTGCCTGTCGACAAGAAATAGAAAAGGACCAAAAAAATACATAGTTGAGATCCATGTACTCTCAACATAATGTGTTGTTGTTTGTACTCTCAACATAATGTGTTGTACTCTCAAGTGCAACACATAGAGTATATAAATATAATGTGTTGTTGGTCTCAAGATGTCTCAACTAACTTTGGATTCAGCCAGTCACCCTGCCAGCAGTATTGCCAGTCTATATAGCCTTTGGCTCAAGGCATGTCGGCTGAAACGTTTGCATGAAACACTCAAGTAGTTGGAACCAAATATGGTCGTGATCGAAGTTGTACAGTGTGACCTGTGCTGCCCAAAACTCTTCAGCGCATGTTGTTCATCAAACATGCTCTAAAAAACAGTAGGCCTCAAGTCCATACCGAATGATTTCCACTTAATTACAGTTACAGTTACAAATGCACACACCCAAGCGGCTATAACACATACGACCTGGCTCTTCAGGAAGTAAAGCGCAGGCCGTGTGTTGCTGTGTCAAAAAATCCAACAACTAGAAATAAACATGCATTTAGGACCCCAATGTTGCTTCCTTGCAATGCGAAGCTCGGATTGTGCAAAAGGACGCAGAAGCACGATTCCGAAACCTGCTCGGCCGAAAGGCGTGTCCCAGCTAGCTGCTGCTAAGCTCACTGAGTTAAAATCAAAAAGCATTGAAGCAAGGCTTGCAAAACGGATTCCACATCATAAAATGGGATGGGGAAAGGATACAAAATTGACAAAGGGAAAGGAACAAAAAGCCTGATTGACCTACAGTATGTGCACATATCCTCTAGATTGCTGCAGGTTGGCCAAACATGTCGTTTCTGAGCGTACTTATCCTTTGGAATAGTAATACAGTTATACATATACATCTTGATCATGCGGGAGCCCCTCCGCTTCTCTTTGCATTTGCCGAACCCAACTTGCCTTGAACAAGTGCAACCGTTTCTTTGCAGTTCTTAGGAAGCCCTTCGATTAAAGACTGTCTGGTGGTTTGAACATGTTTGAACATGTTTGAACCATCCCACAGACACATGCCACTGAAGCAGGATCATCATTTCCAAACAGGAGCCAATTAAGGCATTAAAAGTTGTAAGACGCACCTCACCTCCCAAAGGAGCATTTCTGGTTCATCCCTCCTCTCCGTCCGGGACACTGGCAGCACCATCATTTGACCCTTATCCAGCCAAACGTTCCTGGGCGGGGGTGACTAGCCCCAGGCCACGGCGAGTTCACACCTGATGAAACATGAGACGTAGACACAGGTTGATGAATATACCTGGACCCGAATTCAAGTATATACTCTAGAAAACGGGTGACAAGAGATATGATCCTAAAAAGAGAGATGATGCTAGCACCCATTTTCTGAGGTACTTTGAGACTCCAGGTAATATGATCAGTTTCCCTAATACTTACTAGTTCCTGGTCCACATAGGACCCGTCCTCCAACTGCATTCCAAATCATCAAACCCCAAACAATCCATGATGATCCATGTATTATGGTTACATGCGGGGTCATAAATGGGACAAATGTATGTGTGGTTTCAGAGTAGATGGCACAATCCCCACAGGTTGTTTATGTGGCCGAAGTATTCCAGTCCCATTGATGTTTTGACGCACGAACATCACTGCAGTTGCCACCTCTGTTGATCCAAGGCTCTGTAGATTCTCCAAGAGCCCAAAAGACTCCGGAAGGCTTACCAGCACCTCATGTTACATGAGCTTGGCGTCTAAGCCAGTCTACGTCTACGAGACTGGCTCGTCTATGGAAGTGGAGGGAACACACGGTCTATGGAAGTGGAGGAAAATGGTCGGTCTCTTTCGGGCCCGTCTGACATCCACTTATTATAATGTTTTGTTTTTTTTCCAGGGAGTGTAATCATCGAAGGTGGATAGGTATGGCTCCTTGGGTGACCATTTCTGTCAATGCCAAGCAGGTGGTGAACTCCACTTCCATGATTGGTGCAGGGAGTGTGGATAGATTTGAGCCTCCCTTCAACAAGCAGTACACTCTGACTCACTAACATGGAAGTGGAAAACGGTCCTTTGGAAGACTACTTTCCTTTACAAACAGTGGGTGAACTCCACTTCCATGTGATGTGTTCGGAGTGTATCAACGGACAAGGATGCCTCCGTCTTTCGTGGCCAGGGGTGATCTCCGATTTCTGGGATGCCCCACGGCTTTCCAACGCAGCTACCCAGAAATCCAAAGAACAACCACTCCAACAGGCCTTTTTTTCTCATCCTCACGCAGCCGGCACTGCGCACATGTCACGAAGCACAAAACATCCGGAACATCGCTCTACCGAGAGGCGTTGGCATTCAAATTGAAGTCGCGCAGCGCTTGGAGGCGGCCGATCTCCTCGGGCAGGCTTGATATCCTGGCGGATCGGGAGAGTCCACCCACCTCCTTTTCCACTGCTTTCTCTGCAATCGGTTCAACTCACCGCCGGTTTCCCACCAGAACCTGCAACGTTGACCTTTTTCCACCAGCTCGTTGATGTCCCTTGGGGGAAAGCACAAGCCGGTTAATATAAATATCAGAAGGAGGGGTGAAGCACGAACGGCTAAGCGAATGGAGAGTTGATGGCGCCACCGCAAAAGGTGGTTTATTTTATATAGATCATTATGGGTCCCCATCTAAAAGACATGTAGGGGTCCCAGTGCCATTTGCTTTGAAACGCCTGTACACGCGGCGCCTGTTGTTGTTCACCAACAGCTCTTCCAGCACTTGCGCTTGAGTGATGCTCTTCGGCAAGCTTTGCAGCTTGTTGAAGGACATGTCCTCGGGCGGTGGCTGTAGGGATGAATGGGCAAAAAAGCACTGCATGTGCCAGCAAAAGCTCTGAAAATAGAAGGTTTCTTGAATGAAGAGTGCAACAAACTAATAGTTGGAACTGTTGGGTAGGGAACGCTTGAACTGGCCTTGAACGGAACGCAACGCCGCCGAAGGGGAACCGAAGAGATTCGCCTTACTGGTCCGAGTAGCCAGGAGCTTGAGCTTTTGCAGGTTCAAGACATCCGGCACCGTCAGCAGCTGATTCTCGGCCAAGACCAGCTCGATCCTGGTGACGATCAGTTTCCTTTTTCAAGACAATCATGGAAGCTGAGCAGGCTCTACTTGTAGAGGAATGACTGATCTGATCCACTTCCATCCAAATGTGCCAGAACCTTCCAAGTCCGGTGGTTTTGGGACACCGCGCGCGAATCACCTCTAAGAGCCATGGACATCTCTTGGAAGATCCTGGTAGGCCCATGTTCCACTTCCGTTTGGAGTGTCGTTCGATCCGCCCAAACACGACGAGTCTGGGACTGCCAGTCCGGACTGCCACCCCAGAAAGACCCCCCTGGCACCACCCCAATGTAGCTATCTAATATATGCCAGTCCCACGGAGTGTCTGGGATGTGATTTCGCTTCATGCGGGATTTTTTCACCATGTCCATGGACTGCGATGTGTCTGTCACACTTTCTGGAATGATCAAGGTATATCAAGGTTACGTGGTGATGATTCCAGGGCCGGGGCACCCCGGGTCATGGCTGAACCGATTCCTCTATAAGAGATTAAGGGAGGTCAACCGAAACCATGGAGTGTATCTATAAACCCGTGGAATTGTGGAATCTCCTTATGGAAGATCTTTAAGATTTTCTTGTGGCGCACACATGCCCACCCACCTTGCTGTTTGCGGTTTTGGCTGATGACGCGCAATGTATGGTCATTTGTCATGGCATTCCAAAGTGCCATCTACAAGCTGATCACCGATTGTAGTCCTCCAAATTCGACTCACCCGTGGATGCATGCACAAACAGAAAAGTAAATTTCATAACACATGTGACATACTATATAATACCGGCTCTACTTGGGTAGGAACCATGGACTTTGCCTTTCTCTGGAACAACTCTACATGACTCACCACCAGCGATACAGAACCGCACTCCACGAGCGAGGCTCAAGTGCTCCAGTTGTCCTATGCTTGGCGGCACTGAGGAGAGCCTGAAGTGGACGAACGAACAGCCACCCGGTTTTTCTTCAATATCGATTTGCTCAATCGTGAATCAATTTTGATTAATTTTCTGTATGGGGCCTTACGGCTATAGGTGCTGGCCTCACAGTTGAATCAGCATGAATCAGCTACATCCCAACAACCAGTGACAAAAATGAGCGAATAGCACCGGCATGTATGACCCAACTATTTTGCGCAAGCTGTTCAATCACATACACCCCCCAAAAAAAAAACACACACACCGACCAGTCTCT